GTCCTAACCCATGAATGTGTAGAATTGCAAAATAATTCAGATACTTTTTTTCATGTCCTTCTGAAACAATTTTTCTTTGATGAATTCAAGCAAAACTTTTTCCTATAGCATTTTCTACCTGGTTATATGCTGCTATTTCTGAATATTGATATTTAAATTTTCAATTTCAAATGGTAAATTCGATGGTGAAATAATCATTAAAACTAGCCATTTTAAGAGTACTTCCTAGCCAAACTAAGTTTATTTAGATAAGACGCTTTCAGACCTTTCTCATCCTACTTTTCAATCTCTTTGGAAATTCCTGTGTTCTGTTTCTGTTCTCAGCACTATGAAGCTTACATAAATGGAGTTATACTGTATTTGTTTCCTTACAGCATGTGCATTGCATATAGCTAATATATTCATGGTTCATTCGTGGTATAGAATGGAGCAGCTTCCACTTTCCTTTTGAAGGCTAACACCACACACACACACACACACACACACACACACACACACACCACATACACACCAAACAAACACACACACCACAACACATACACACAACACACACACAACACACACACCACGCACACACCACACAAACACACCACAACACACACACCACACACACACACACACACACATACACACACACACCACACAAACACACCACACACACACACCACAACACACACACACCACACACACACATACACATACACACACACACCACACAAACACACCACACACACACCACAACACACACACACCACACACACTCACCACACACACCATACACACACATACCACAAACATACACAAACACACCACACACACACACCACACAAACACACCACACACACACACCACAACACACACACCACACACACACATACCACAAACACACACACCACACAAACACACCACACACACACACACCACAACACACACACACACCACAACACACACACACCACACGCACATACACACCACACAAACACACACACACACCACACACACACACACACAGCTAGACAAACACACACCTCCCACCTTTTGTTTATCCACTCATCTAGTGATGGATGATAGATTCCTTATCACCTTTTCCTTTACCTTATGGCTACCGTAAACAATTATGCTCTGAATATGGACACACAGATATCTCCTCAAAGGCCTGCTTTCACATCCCTTGGATATATACTCAGTTAAGTAGAAGCAGCATCATTTTCTAAAGTGCCCACACAATTGACTTTTATGTTTTTTACAAGCTTTAAAAAGAAAAAGAAAAAAAAAAAAGCTTTCTAAAATCCCATTCGTCTAGTGCTTTACAAATTCCCTTGTATAATCTGTATAGAGATTAAGCAATCTAATACAAAATACATTTTTGCCTACTGTTTTCTAATTCTCATAGCAATTACTCTTTTTAATCAGTTGCGGTTTTCAATACAATGTTGAAAAGAAGGAACTTCTTTACCTTGTTCATCATATGAAAGAGGCCAGCACTTCATCAGCACAATGGTGGGAAACGCTAGACATAGTTTTGGCTCATCTAAAGCATCTCTTCTAAGCTTACAGTGACTTTTTGTCATGAATTGATGTTGCTTACAAATGGTTTTTCTTCCCCACTGTAGGTAATGCTATGATATTTGTCACTAAGTCTATTGGTTTCATAAGATACATGTAAGGTCTAATGTTGACATGCCACTTTGTTGTGATAAATGCATTTCAACTATGTTTGTATACATTTTATTTAATTTATATTAAATTTAAAATTGCATACCATTCCAGTTCCCTCTCTCTCCCATGTTCCCACTCCACCATCCCCTCACCCCCCATCCACCCCTCAGAGAGGGTGAGGTCTCCCATGGGGAACCACCAAAGTCTGTCACATCATTTGGAGCAGGATCTGGGCCCTCTCCACTATAACTAGGCTGAGAAAGGCATCCCTCCATAGGGAATGGGTTCATGTACTAGGGATTAATAATGGTCCCACTGCCACAGGCCCCACCTACACCAATGAGAGGAAGAAGGACCCCCTGAAGCACAGACCCTCCTATACCCACTAGAGGAAGAGATGGGTAGATGACAGTGTAAGAATGCATTGGACAACTTAAGGAACAATACATCATTACCAGAAACTAGGGGTTTTACACCAGCAAGACCTGAACATCCCAACACAGATGAAACAGAAGAAAATGACCTTAAAAAGCACTTTATGAAAATGATCGAGGTCCTTAAAGAAGAAATGGAAAACTCCCTTAAAGAAATGGAGGAAAAGACAAACAAAAAGATGGAAGAAATTAACAGCTCCCTTAAAGAAAGCAAGAAAAGCCAAGAAAAAAAAAAAAACACTTAAACAGGCAAAGGAAACAGTTCAGACAGTTCAAGACTTGAAAAACTGATATAGAGGCAATAAAGAACACACAAACTGAGAGAATGCTAGAAATGGGAAAGCTGAGTAAAGATCAGGAACTACAGATGTAAGCATAACTGACAGAATACAGTAGCTGGAAGAGAAAATCTCAGGTGTTGAGGATACAATAAAGCAAATAGATTTATCAGTCAAAGACAATGTTAAATCCAACAAATTCTTAACAGAAAATATCCAGCAAATCTGGGACACAATAAAAAGACCAAAGCTAAGAATAATAAGGCTAGAAGAAGGTGAAGAAGTCCAGCTCAAAGGCTCAGAAAGCATATTCAACATAATCATAGAAGAAAAACTTCCCAAACTAAAGAAAGACATGCCGATGAAACTTCAAGCTTACAGAACACCAAATAGACTGGACCAAAAAAGTCCCCTTGCCACATAATAATCAAAACACTAAACAGACAGAATAAAGAAATAATATTAAGAACTACAAAGAAAAAATGCCAAGTAACACATAAAGGCAGATCTATCAGAATCACACCTGACTTCTCAATGGAAACTCTGAAGGCCAGAAGGTCCATGGATAGATGCTCTGCAGACACTAAGAGACCCCAGGTGCCAGCCCAGACTACTATACCAAGCAAAGCTTTCAATCACCATAGATGGGGGAAACATGATATTCTATGACAAAACCAGATTTAAACAATACATATCCACAAATCCAGCCCACAGAAAATAGTAGAAGGAAAACTCCAACCCAAGGAAATTAACTACAATCACGAAAACATAGGCAATAGATATTCCCATATGAACAAAACCCAAAAAAGGGAAACACACACACAATAACACCATTAACAACAAAACCAAAAATAACAAGAATTAAAAATCACTGGTCATTAATATCTCTTAATATCAATGGTCTCAATTCACCTATAAAAAAGACACAGACTAACAGAATGGATATGAAAACAGAATCCATCCTTCTGATGCATACAAGAAACACACCTCAACTTCAAAGACAGACATTACCTCAGAGTAAAGCATTGGCAAAAGATTTTCCAATCAAATAGACCCAAGAAACAAACTGGTATATCTATTAATATCTAAAAAATAGATTTCAAATTAAAATAAATCAAAAGAGATAGAGAAGGACATTTCATATTTATCACAGGAAAAAGCCATCAAGATGAAGTCTCAATTCTGAACATCTATATCCCCAAATACAAGGTCACTCACATTTGTAAAAGAAACATTACGAAAGCTTAAATCTCACATTAGCTATGTTTTTAAAGCTGGCTTACATCCATCTGATTCAATTTACTAACATCTTATTGAGGCCCTTGCTTCTATACTGAAAAGAGATTGACCTACATTCTGGTCAGTAGTCTTCTATATTGAAAAATACATTGATTTACATTTTGATCACTAGTATACTTGATTTGTTTTTCACTAAGATTATAAAGTCATGAGAAAGTGGGTTGATTAATTTTCAGTTTCTATTCTCTGAAAGGATTGGAATAGAATAGCTGTTTTGTCCCTTGAAAAATGCAATGAAATTCAGTTAGGATTGGTCAGAATAAAAGACATCCACTTACCAATTCTAGGTCTATTGGTTTATTGTTATAAATTATTATTACATCTTATTGATACAGGCTATATTATATAATATATAATTATCAGTTTATAATATGTTATCATAAATTTCTAGTTAATTATTTTATTATTCAATTTAATGTTGCTTAAATATTAAATATGTTTATTGTTAAATTTAATTATTAAAAATTCAAAACATGTATATGATATAATCTGATCACACCTTATCCACTCATGAATGTGTGTGTATGTGAGAAAAGACATTCTAGGTTCTTTTGTTTTCCCTTCATCAAGAACAGGAAATGGGAATTAATATTTATTGCACACTCACTACACATCAGATGCTGATAAAATGATTGATATCATGCTCATTTTACAGAAAAGAAAACAAGACTAAGGTAAGGCAGATGCTTTGACTACTCAGAGCTTTAGTGAGGTGTAAGCTTAAGTATATGCAATAGCAAAGTCCTGGGCACACATACCAAATCCATCAATGGGAAGGTGTGGTGGTTCGAATGAGAAAGTCCCCCATAGGTTCATATGTTTGAACATATGGTCTCTGGTTGATGGAACTGTTTGGGAAGGATTGGGGGTGTGGCCTTATTGGAGGAAGTGTGTCACTAAAGGAAGGCTTTGAAGTTTCTCCACTTAAGTAAATGAGCCCGTCTGAAAGTCACATGATCTATAAAACAGCTCTGTTTTTGGTTTTTGTTCTGGAAAACTGTGATACTGACAGCACTTACCCACTGCTGAGCAATGCCCAGAGTGTGACCTAAAAAGCACCACAGGAGCTTCTCACTTCCAGATTCCCATAATGAAAATAACCGAGTCCTGGTGCCTACTCAGGATGTATTTATTATTTTTGACAACTTCATACATGTATATACTGGATTTTGATCACTTTTTTTACCTCGTGTTTTCTTCTTTCACCTCCCTCTTTTCCAATAAAATTTTTCTTCTCCACAGCCCTGGAGCCATCACAGAAAGATTGATTGATTGATTGATTGATTGATTGATTGATTGATTGATTGATCGATCGATTGATTGATTTATTCTACCTTGATTCTGTGCCTCTCCCTAGTGCCTTCCACAGAGCCCCCTTCACATCCTTGTTCCTCAGCGTATAAATTAGAGGGTTGAGCATGGGGGTGACTATGGTATAAAAAAGGGCAACAAACTTCCCCTCATTCTCAGAATAACTGTCATTTGGTTGCAAGTATGTGTAGATGGTTGAGCCATAAAACATAGAAACAACCAGGAGGTGTGATCCACAAGTCCCAAAAGCTTTTCTGCGGCCAGATATTGACTTGACCTTCAACACAGCCCTGGCAATGTGTGCATAGGATCCTAGAATCAGTGTCGCAGGAAAAACCAGGATTATGGCCCTGGCCACAAACATCTTGGCCTCCGTTCCAGCTGTGTCCTTGCAAGCCAACTTGAGGAACACAGGCATCTCACAGAAGAAATGATTCAGTCGATAGCCACAGAGAGGCATGGCCATCATGAGGCTTGTCTGAATCAGAGAGTTCAAGAGGCCTGCTGCCCACGAAGAGATAGCCAGTGCCTGGCACAGCAGGGGATGCATAATGGTTGTGTAGAGGAGGGGACGGCACACAGCAGCATAGCGGTCAAAGGCCATCACCACTAGAAGCATACTTTCTGTGGAGCCCAAGGCAAGCACACTGAAGAGCTGGGCCACACACCTTCCGTACGTGATGGTGTGGTCATGTCCCTCAATATTGATCAGGAGCTGGGGCACGGTGCTGGTGGTGTAGCAGAGGTCCAGGAAGGAGAGGTGGGAGAGGAAAAAGTACATAGGTGTGTGCAACCGGAGGTCCACTTGTGACAGAGCAATGATGGCGGTGTTGCCAAAGAGCGTTAAGGAGTAGAAAATCAAAATGTAGATAAAAAGAATGAGTTCTAATTGAGGCCAGTCTGAGAAGCCCACCAAAATGAAGCCTTTGCCCAAACTGGCATTGAAGCTTCCCATAGCCTTCGACCTGCACAGTAGCAGAAGACAGCTCAGTGCGTCTGTTGAAGAAAAAAAAAAATGCATTAAAGGCATTGTTCACGGCATTCTTCAAGGAATCCTAAATCATCTGTTTTACTGTTCGACTCTATTTTATCCAGTCTTTTAGTCCTATTTTTCTTTTCTATAAACCTCTTTGGATTAGGAAGGATGTCCTCTTTGTTCCAAGACTTTAGCCTGGCCCTTCAGATCCAATCTTTCTTATTCAAAAGTAAAGAAGTGCTTTGAAAACCTAAGGTCTTTATACATACCATAAGTGTTCTAAGGTGTTATCTTTGGTTCCTTCTTTTTGTCTGTTTGTTAACTCATTCAGATTTGAATTCATGCTCAGCCAGGTAGCAATCACAATTTTGAGCCCTGGGTCCTCATGTGCCTCCTCTGCACCATGGATAGAAGCCCCATTCACAGTATCTGCCATCTGTCACAGAAGACTGAGAAGTAGAATCATTTCTTTGGGGGGGGCGGACACAAAGAAATGTGTACAGAGTAGGAAATATGGTCCCCCCTTGACCCTGCTTGTTCAACTGAAAATGTCCATAATTCAACTCCACAGAAGAATCTGTTTGATACTCTCTAACCAAGACCTCTTTAAACTATTTCCTTCCAGCTCTCCCTGTTCACTTGATGACATTCATGCCACACATCTTTGTCCCCCTAGGAGCTCCTCTGTGGTAGAGGACAGGCCAAATATAAAAATAAGTACTAGTGGTTTAATCACAGAAACAATAAATACTGAATGAACACTGCCACCAGACTATGGCACAGGGTGCCAAAAGAATGCTACTTCTATTCAAGATGCACCTTGGCTACAGAATAAACTTCCCTCAGTGAAGCATATGCTTTTATCTTTTTAGAGCGCATGAAAATTAATTTTCCCTAAGCCTGCAGATTAACTGCTAGCTAGCACACTGGTAAATGGTGGAGGTGCAATAGGCAAGCTGGACTATTGTCATCAATGGGTCAATGCTGAATTCAGTGCCTTTAGGTCCGTATCATGGCCCTACAGATCAACTCTATCATGGGCCAGCTGCGCGTTCTGCTCTGAAATATGCACTTTCCTTAGTCTCAACCTAGTTATCTGTAAAACAAAGAAGTTAGCTTGCTCCAAGCAATTTGGGTTGTGATTACATGAAATAATGTATTATGTATATTAGAAAAATTTTACTCACTGTTAACACTGTTTTGCCTTCATAATTAGCAATTTACTCATGCAAATTAAGCTGCATAATTCACTGAGCAGTTTATATCCAACTCTTATTGCAGTGGCTGGAAAATAAACAATACTATTGACTGAGAAATGAATAATACTTTTCATTTTTTAATTTTGTGTGTATGGGTGTTTTGTCTGCATGCATTTCTATATGTATGCTGTGTATGCCTGGTGCCCACAGAGTCCAGAAGAGGACACTGAATCCCCTAGAACTAGAATTGCAGATGGCTATGGGTGTTGGGAATTGAACCCAGGTCCTCTGGAAAAGTAGCTCTTAACAAGTGCTCTTAACCACCAAGCCATCTCTCCAGCCTCCGGTAAATATATTTTCAATCAATAAAGCTTAGTGCTACAATTCTAATATGATAAACAATGAACAATGATACATGATATTTCAATATGATAAAACTCAGAGCCTTACACCAGTAATGATCACTTTAATGAATAAAAAAGCTTGGATAATTTTGAAGCAGAGGCATTAAATTTAGTTTTCAAAACTTTCTGCTGTCAGCCAGATGCTCTACTCAGAGCTAGAAATAAACAGGAGAAGCCAGGGGCTAAATGAACAGACACAAATGCATATAGCTCCAAACCCTAAGACCTAAGGACTCCAGGCTTTAGAAGCCAACCTTAATGGCTTCTGGGTTAGAGATGAGAGCAACCTAAAAGCCATCTCCAATTAATAACCACTTGCAATTGAAAACTTAGTTTTCTCCAAGGGAGTCTCACTGGGAAAACAAACTGCTCTTAAGCATAGGCTGCACGTGCAACAGTAGATGGCTGACAGAAAACAAATTCAACAGCATCTTTGGAGGTTCTTTGACTCTTAATGTCGTGTCAGAGCATTTTTTAAAATCTTATTTTTTAATTTTATTTTCTTTTATAGACATATATGTTTCTATCTTTTTACCCTACAGGTGATGTGTGTGTGTGTGTGTGTGTGTGTGTGTGTGTGTGTGTGTATGTGTGTATGTGTGTGTGTATGTGTGCGTGTGTGTGTGTATATATATATGTATATATATATGCAGATTAGTGTTTTAATGGTATTCCTGAGTGTGCAAATGAGTGGGTTTCTGTGTCTATACGTTTCTTGCACTCTTTTTTTCTATTTACCTTTTTATCCTATTCTGATGTGTTAGTTTTTGTTTTATCTTATTATATTTATTTTATTATTATCCCTGAGAAGCCTGTTTGTTTTCTAATGAGAGGCAGAAAGGGCACAGTGGATCTGGATGGGAGGGGAGGTGGGGAGGAACTGGGAGAAGTAGAAGGAGGGGAAATTAGAATCAGGATATATCATGTGGGAAAAAATCTATATTTAATATAAAGGAGGGAAGGGAAAAAGAATCCGACCTTATGGCTGTAGATCCTGTGCTTGGAAGGCTGGTGCTCTGGGCTTTAACTACCAGTGGCCCCCAGCACTTCATGTCTGTGTAATCCTTAGCTCCCAGCATTAGTGAGTGGCTGTGGGGGGGGGGCAGCAGGCTGCAGCTGCCCTTCTTGGGGATGACCAAGTTCTTCCTTTCTGCCCTAAGTTAAAGTGATTGCTAGATTTTGTGATGACAAAAATCCAAAATCTACCTTAAGGTTCTTAAAAGAGATGTAGCTGGAATAGGCAGGAGTGTGAGCACAGCTTCCTCAAAACATCTGTGATGTGTTCAGAACAGCTGAGCTGCCCTGAGGGAAGTCTCATTTGAGTGACAGCTCGGTTCATTGTCCTCTGCTCAAGGAAGCTAGGATCCAGGAAAGGCTCTAACAGCTCTCTGATGGGGATTTGAATGTCTCCAGCATCCAACATCTTGCTTATTTAAAGCAAAAGTAAACATGAAAACGTTTACCATATATATATACAAAGAACACTAAATAGACCCAGTAGATGGAGTGTATGTGTGTGTATGTAAAAGGATAATAATTAAAGGATAAGAGATCATGAATTTGAGAGGGAGTGAGGGGCATGGAAGATGCCAAAGTGGAGAAGAAGAGATAGAAATGATATAAATACATTACTCATATATGAAAATCTCAAAAATGGAAATTTAAATTAAAAGAAGGAAATAGTTTTTAAGTGTGTTTGCAATAAAGACTTATTAACATCAACAGCACTTTACTCTTGGACAGATACCCACAGACAGCTGGATTGTCTTATCCATCTTAGTCATAGTTGGGCAACTGTATAATGAAGGATACCAAAATTGCAAAACTTCCAACTAGTTCACAAGTATGTAGATGGCACATTAACTCTAAGAAAGAAAAACAAAGTTGGATATGTCACCCTTTCAAGTACGTTACAAAGCAACAATAGTTTTAAGAACTATAAAGAACACATAGACCACTGGAATGGATGAGAGAGGCCAGGGACAAAATTCTAATATTTCCTAAGGACACCAGGAGGACAAAAAGAATTAAGAATAGTCTCTTGCATAAGTAGTGCTGGAAGAAATTTATTTCCATAAGCAAATGATAAGATTGCAAATATCAAACACCCTTCACAAAACTCAGGTCTACAATGATAAAAGCAGATACCACCACTTGGAACATCATGGGGACAACTGAGAGACACTGTAAGAGAAACAAGCCAGAATTGGAGAACAGGGTGCTCTTCAGAACTAACTACTTAAGATCAGCTGAAGTCTCTTAAAGCCCTCGGAAGACTGATGTCAAGGACACCCTGTATCCACACAGGCGGGTGACCACACCATGCCTGCATTTGATCCACTCCTATTGCTTAGGAATAAGTCATTGCAATTATGGCATTTTATTAATGCCTCATAGAGGGTTTCTCCACCCTTCCCCCGGCTGGAATGTCTCACATACACTCCTGCTCACAGAAAGACCTTAGCTTAACCAATTCCCTTTAAGTCTTTCACCTCTGGAACAGTTGCATGTTACTCCTCATTTGTACTCAGATTTGGGCTTCTGGTAAGTTCCACGCAGTGAAGCCTACATCTCACAAGCCAGGAGCATGAGCCCACAGTGGGCTCCACTCTAGATGAAATGAGTGAGCAAATGGGCACCATTAGGCTCCCTGTAAATAGCTCTAGTGCGCACCACTGAGAAGGGCGAGAAAGTTCTCACAGCGAGATCATTCACAATAATCACAAGGCTCCTTCCAATAAACAGTCCTCCCTGCACTGAAGGAAACAATATGGAAACTTAACAGACCCTCCAGGGGAGGTAGGAGTTTCAGTGTGACCATCTCCTTAAGAATTTCCCATATTTCATTCCAGCAAAAGGAGAAAATTAGGTCAGGCTGATATAACTGGTCCCTGGTGGCTCCTGAGCAGTCATTTACAGAGAATCCCTTTGTATTTTCATATCTGTTCTAAAGTACACTATCCAATTCTTCTGTGCCAGCTAAAGGACTATAACACCAACCAGCCCATCTGAAAGCATGCTAGATGAGAACAGGATGCCTTCATTTAATTTCATACTAAAAGCCAGGATGCATAAAAATAGATGTGATGGCTTACATACAAGCTTAACTATCTCTCATATAGAAATGATGGTGGCCTTTCTTTGTTCTTCTCCACAGGGCAGAACGAGGACCAATGCCTGAAATGCAACAAATATCAAAAAAAAAAAAAAAAAAAAAAAACCCTGAGGAATACGAAGAACAACAGCCTCAAAGTGCACATCTTTCTACTTTTTAATTATCTTTTAAAATACAAACTCTACTCATAGTCTCTTTAAGAACCACAAAGAAACTTGATATTTGTATGTGTGATACTTTTGGTGGTCTTGACTGAGATCACCAAGAGC